TTTCTTTTATTTCAATTATTGAATTGTTCTTTTCCACCCTACGAGTCTCCTTACCTTTGCCCCCAATTCTCTCCCTATCCCCTGGGTGGGGAGTGAACAAGTGGCTGTGTTTGGCTGCAGCTCAGTGCTGGCCCAGTGAAACCAGCACAGTGGGGAAGGAAGGCTTGTGGGAGCAGATGGGATGCTTGGCTGGGGAAAGCCCAGAGATGCAGAGCTGGAGCTCAGCTTCCCATGGCCACATCAGATTGGTTTCACTGCTATCCCCTTCCTCTGGCAGAAAAATGAGATTCATTTTCAAGCACAGATGAAAACCCACTGGCAGTGTGGCTGCTGGGTGGGGGGTGTGAGGAGTGGCTGTGGCCGTGCTTTGCCTGCTCCAGCACAAGCCCAGGGCAGTGCTCGGTGGAGGAACATCCTCTCCACTTACTTTACCTGCCTGTCCAGCTGCAGCTGTCCCAGGAGCCCCTGGCTGGGACCAGGCTGGTGGCTCTGCTATGGTGCAGTGGAACCAGAAAACTATGTGGGGCTCAAGACCCTCCCCATTGCTCCCCCTCCTCAACAGATTTTTAACACCAGCATTGGAAGGGTTACATCCAGGTGCTTTTGTGCAGAGCTTCTGGAATTCAAGATCCTCTGTTCTCCTGTGTGCTAGAGAGAAACACAGTAAGAACTGGAAGTATTTGACCCCAGTAATGTAGTAGGATTTGGACATGAAACAGTGAGTTCATGGTGCTTGGAGGGCTGAAGGCAGCCTGGCTCCTGGTCTGTGCCCAGCCTTGAGGGCATGTGAGGACACCATGGAGAAGGCAAAGGTGACTCTGGTCCAGTCTGTCTTCTCATCTTGTCAAGGAAAGGGTTTGACATCTCCTGGTGCAACCTGCCCTCCTCCTTCCTTGACCTCCAGCTGCCAGTCCTGCCTGTCTCAATGCTCACAGTGCTGTCCCGTGGTTTCTGTGTCACTTGAGCTGGGCACAGGGGCTGGCCATGGGGAAGGGAGTCTGGTGTGACAGCTGGGCAGGGCTTCCCAGCTGCTTCCCCGTGCAACTTCTGATCCTTTTCCAATCATCTCTGAAGCTGAGTCAGTTCAGGAGAGCGCAGCAAAGCCAGGTGAGTTCTTTTCTGCCTGTTCAGGGAGCTGAATTGGCTCCCTGAAGCACCAAATGACCTTTTCCCCCAAAATTACAAGGAGAGAATTCAGTTCCCTGGTTTCCACCTGCTCATCCTCTGTACCCAGTGCTGAGCTGCTTCTGTGCCAAGAGCAGGAATCACCTCCCATAGTGAAGTTGCTGCAGTGCAGGTGCCGTGTGGACCTTCTCAGCTCGTTCCTCCCACCCCTGCAGCTCCCCATGGACCTCGGGGGTCCTGCTGTGCTGTCTGTGGGCAGGAGCTTTCCTGGCTGCTGGAGCAGCCCCTTCCCCGTGCCAGCAGCTGCAGGCAGGGCATTCCAAAAGGAGAGCTTTGCTGCAGTGCTCTGCTCATGTACAACCTCCAGCCTGGAGTGTCGGGGTTTGGCTGTCGACCAGCTGTACCCAGGCAGTCGGTGGAGCCTGAATTCACAGCACAAGCTGCAGTTGTGTTGCCAACCTGGTTGGGAGTGATGGTGGATCACTTCTTAGAGTGCTGGTGGATCACTTCTTAGAGTGATGGTGGATCACTTCTTAGAGTGCTGGTGGATAGGCACAGAAATAACCTGGAGTGGAAATGAACAGCAGTTTTATTTCTGGAGAAGTGTTTGAATTGACTTTGTGCTCCTGCAGCAGAGCAGGAGCTGGTCCTCGGTCACCACTGCCACCACGGCTCTGCCTGGAGCAAGGCTGTGGCTCAGACATGCTCCTCCACCGGTGGGATGCTTTGAATGCTTGGTCATCACCTGCCTACCAGAACACCTTGTGCATGTACTCGCCACCGTGCTCCTGGTACTCGCTCTTTGTCAGCCACACGTGCTGGAAGGATGTGAGTGACGCTGCCATCGAGCCCCCTGCCCAGGCTGCTGTGGCCCTCTCTGGGCTTGCCAGGACCTTAATCTCACAGCCTGTGCCATGGAACAGGGTGTTCAACTCTAAGCACATCCTTTCAGGAAAGCCAGGAAACATGGAGGAGCCCCCTGACAGCACGATGTTACCCATTGTGTCCTTCCTGGCATGGTCAGGTACATTCTGGAGGCTCTGCATGGCCAAATGGTGGAGCCCTGGGGAATTCTGGTGGAGTAGCTTTGGTTGGAAAAGTGGCTCTGGGCAGCAGAACCGTTCGTTACCCAGGGTTATCCAGTGCCCATCGGGGACCTGAAATCTGGCTGGATGATGGTAGTCTTGATCATGGAGGTCTCTTTCAAAGTCAATGGAGACATAGCAGCATTGCTTCTTCAGCTGGATCACTGTCTTCCTCTCCTTCAAGGCCTTCAGCACTGAGGGCTCGTTGGGGCTCTCCATCAGCAGGCTCTGCAGGTAGCTGGAGAGGGAGCCACCAGCCACCTCAAGACGGTAGGTAGCCTCCTTCCAGGTCTGGCCCAGGTAGGTGGAGGTGACATGGGACACTCCTGCCCCAGCCTCCACAGCCAGACCGGTGACTCTGCCATAGGCACAGAGGGAGAGGAACCCGGTGTTGGCCACGTGCAGGGCTGGCACCCCGAAGCTCTCGAAAAGCACCTCCACCGCCTTTTCCCTGTTGGTGGAAGGGCAAGATGGGGAGTTGGCCATGAGCACTGGCTGTTCCTCTGGGAGAGCTTTCAGGCCACAGGAGAAGAGGTGGCTCCACAGGTTTTCCATGGCATCCCAGTCCTCAATGATGCCGTGCTTGAGCGGGTAAGTCCCGGGTGCTAAGGCAAAGCCTGCTGTGCTTTCAGCTGTAGTGGGATGCCATTGGGTCTCCCATGTTGTGCCTGTTCTGCAGGGATCCAGAAATGTCGTCCTTAGGGCAAACTTGGGCTTCTTCTGGCCTGCAAAGCCAGCCCGGGTGAAGCTGCTGCCGTTGTCTATGACGACTGCAGGCTTTGGCATGGCTGGCACTCCTGAGGGACACCAAGAGGGAGGACGAGCCTCACCCTGCAGTGGAACAAGAGGAGTCTCGTGTGGGCAAACCAGGCACAGGTCCCTGCTCTGCAAGGGGGACTGTGGCTCAGCCCCAGCAGAGGACAGCTGTCCCTGATCTAGAAGCTCCTGTCTCTGGGTACGTGCCTCAGCCTTTCCTCCCGTCTCATAGAATCACAGAATGGTTTGGGCTGGAAGGGACCTTAAAGCTCATCCAGTCCCAACCCCCCTGCCATCAGCAGGGACACCTTCCACTAGACCAGGTTGCTCAAAGCCTCATCCAGCCTGGCCTTCAACACTTCCAGGGAGGAGCAGCCACAGCTTCTCTGCCCAACCTGGGACACTGTCTCACCACCCTCAGAGCAAAGAATTTCTTCCTCACATCTCATCTCCATCTCCCCTCTGCCAGTTTCAAGCCATCACCCCTTGTTCTCTCACTCCCCACCCTTGTCCAAAGTCCCTCCCCAGCTTTCTTGTAGCCCCTTCAGGTACTGGGAGGCCACTAGAAGGTCTCCCCAGAACCTTCTCTTCTCCAGGCTGAACAGCCCCAGCTCTCTCAGCCTGTCCTCACAGCAGAGCTGCTCCTCGCTCCCTGTCTCACTGCACATCTCTCCTTGGGCACCTTGTCTCCATCCCTGGGGGCCTGGAGATTTTCCCCATGCCCTTGACATTGCTCACAGTGCAAGGACAAAACTCCAGGTGGTTTTAAGGAAGGAAGTGAAAACTGGATGGGACAGTAGCATGGCTGAACCTGGCTGCAGGGAATGGTGCTGCCAGCAGAACCCCCAGCATGTGGGAAGGAGCCACGCTCAGGGCTGTGGCTGTTCATTGCACCCAGAATTTTGCCCAAGAGAGTCTGTGGTCACAGCTGGCAAGGGAAGGAAGGAGTTTGGGGTGCTTGTGTGTGTGTTTTGAGGCACTTCCCCGGCTCTCTGTGCTTCTGAGACATGCTTCTGGGGCATGATGTGCATCCTGACCCACTGTCTGGGTGCCCTCTGGGCCAGCTTGCCCTGTTTCCAGGATGCATGGTGACCCCTTCATTCTCCCCAGTGCTTCTCGTGTCCCCCCCTGGACCTGCCTTTACGTGCCCCCAGCACTAACCCCTGTGGTGCACGTGTTGCCCTTCAGAGCGGGGAGGAGGGTGGTGAGGAAAGGACACACAGCCCCATGTTCCTGCTGGACACCCCTCCAGCGCCATGGGGCAGATGGGTCAGGGCTTGTGGGGGCAACGAGTGACATGGGGATGGGCTGTGGGGCAGCCCTGAGCACAAGCAGACGTGTCAGATTCAGCTGGGATCAGTTCCTGTCACAGCAGAAAGGCTTGGCACTGTCCTCCTGGGGAGAGAGGGCACAAAACCAGCCCACCCCCCTGTCCTGCCTGTGGTGGGGGGCTCCCTGGAAGGGGGTTCC